TCAACTTTCCTACTCCTCTGATGCTGCCTGGCCTGCTGTGTTCCTCCAGCTCCACACTTTTTGTTACCTCTGACTCCAGCATCAGCAGTTCTTACTATCCCTTTCTCATGTCATTTTTTTGTTTCTTTTACCAATTACTTTAAATCTGTGCTGTTTTGTTCTCAGCCCACTTCTGAAGGGAAATAGTTTTACCCAATATACTCTGCCCAGGCACATCCCATGATTTTAAATAGCTCTATCAATTCACCTCTTAGCCGCTTTTACTCCTTTGAAAACAGTCTTAACTTGACTAATCTATTTTTACTTATCCCCAGAGCCATCCTCCTGAATGTTTTCTGCACTGTCTGAAACTGTCTTAGGGCAGCGTCCAGAACTGGATGCAGTACTACAGTCTTGTATGAGTTTTATGGTATATGAATTGGTCTACTCTTTTTACAACTCCTGTAAGCCTATGAAAAGCTTTGGGATTTTCTTTTCTGTTGGTTGCCAGTCTGTTTTCATACTCCGTCTTTGCTTCTCATGTCTTTCTTCACCTCCCCTTGAACCTTCTCTGTTTTTTCTGGTTCTCAATTGTATTTTCTAGCTAACATTTGTCATTAGTGCACTTTTGATACTTTAACTTAATTTTGTCATCCAGGGAGATCTGGCTTTGCTTACCATACCTTACCATATTGAGGGAACATATCTTGACTCTGCCAGATTTGAGGGCAGTCAATTGGTCAGTTACCATTTCTCCTGCTTGTCTTTTACTCCAGCTGATGCAACCCAGATGCTTTCTTACCCTGTTGAAATTGGCTTATCCCCAGTTAATTATTCTTAGACTGAGTTGTTCTTTTCCATATTAAGTGTGCACCTTATGATACAATAATCTCTGCGCCTGAAACACTTCTCTGTGATCCTGACCCATTTGGTCCATGTCGTTACCAAGAACCAGGCCTATCAGTACCTCCTTTCTCATTGGACTGGAAACATACTGCTGTAGAAAATTTTTCTGAACACCCTCTAGGACTCCCTTTTAAATAATTACAATCCCAGTCTGTATTTGGATAACTAAAGATTCCTATTAAAAGTACTATATATCATTTTTACTTTTTCTACTATGTTGCCTAATATTTTCCTATAGATCCTTCCTTTTAGTTTATGGCCAGTAGATAACGTCAAGCAACGTAATTGCACACTTTTCCTTAACCCTAGCCAAATAAATTCTTTCTTCAAATCTCCTTGATCGCATGTGTTACAAAACAGACCAACATTGCAGCACTTACATACAAGGTGAAAATTGATAATCTATATCTTGGGGAGCTACTCCAGTGAAACAGTCAACTGAGAAAAGAGTGTTTCTGTCAGAATGCTGGAAAACAACCAGATTGCAAAATCAATTCAAGGCAAGGAATGCTCAATGTCCACAATAGGCAGGGATGTTGCAAAGGTCAAAAATTAAAACACCTCAACAATATCCATGTACCAAATGCAACATTTATTACTTCTTTATTTATAAGTATCAATCATCTTTGAAAAAATGTCTTCACTCACATTACCTTATCTTCCAAGGTAGCCTACTGTTCAAATATGATTTCACATGCGAGTCCTGTTTCTCGAGGACTGGAATGTACTTGTTAATCAGTAATACCACCCCTCCCACTCTTTTAATACAGTTTTTGCTGAACAGATGATAACCAAGAATATTTAGCACCTAGTTCAAAGAATGCTGAAATGCTCTGTCTAATTGTGTTTCCCAATCGTAGGTGTGGCACTATAATGAAATAAACAGCAACTTGTAGCAAAGTCATTTTTTAAACACATTTTAAATTTGTTACTGCTGTGTAAACTTTTTGGAAGATGATTCATACTTAAAAATGCTGCTTTAGAACATGGATATTGTCGTTAGGTTTTAATTTTTTGAATTTTGCATAACCTGTTAGTCTGCAAATCCTGCCTGTTGACTACATTGAATATTCATTGCCTATGATAGGTTTTGCAGTTAGATTATTTTCCAGTATACTAACAGAAACAGTCTTTCACAGTTAACTGTTAGAGTAGCTCCCCAAGATATAGAATGTTGATTTTCACCTAGTGAGTGTGCTGCACTACTGGTCTGTTTCATAACACGTGATTATCACCGAGACACTAGATTGAATTACTGACTATACTTTTTGAAAAAGTGAAATAAACTGAAATATTTAAAAAATATAGGGAGCTTAAATCATAAAACTCAGCAATAAAATTTGTCATCGTAATTTTTAAGCTGGACTTTGAAACATTTATGTTCTCTATAAAAGTTTTTGGATCTGTATGATTAGCTAATTATTTTGTGGTATTGACTTGGCTTTTATGATTTGTAATCAAAATAAGTAGAAATATCAAGTAAACAGGATGGGGAAAAACAACACAAAATTGTGAATTTTTTTTTCCCAACTATAAAAGTATAACTTGAGCACTGGAAGGAGATATAGAAAAGCAAAGCAAACTGTTGATTAGGCTTAAAATGCAGCTGATGATGATATTGCATTGATTTTACAAAATACAAAGTGTTTTCAGTTTCTTTAAACTCAGCAGTTTTACTTTGAGCTGTTTAAATCTGTCCAGTTTATGGGACGCTTCATATTCAGAAAAATATTTTGGATTTTGCCTACCCCAATTAATTGAGCTATTTGCAGCTTAAAATGTCAAGTTTGTTTCAGACACCAAAGCTGTTAAACTGAAATCCTTACTGACTTTTTCACACACCCTTCTATTTGTGGTATCGTGGCACTGCATTAAAGTGATTGGTTCTGCTATTTTGGGCTGTGTTTATATAAAGGCTTTGATAATCAACAAAATCTTTCCTATCACTTCTGCAGATTGCAGCAAGGACAGCCTGATAGAAACCTGTGCTCAACTTGTGTTGTAAACCACTTGCAGGTAAAGCATTTGCAGGTATAAGTGCTTTTGCACACAATTGAGATTTCTGCAATTTGAGCTTAGACCTGAAAGGTTTTTTAAGGAAGTAATTTAATTGGTTATTTCTCTGTTAGCTGTTTTATGCAAGTACTGTGGCTCTGGATGTTGTTGAGCACCGCTGTCGTGGCTGCAGGACTGAGTCAAGGGTTAATGAGGAGAAAATGTGCTGCACTACACACACAGGTATCTACTGAACAAAACAAAATCCATTTTCACCTGCAAGGCTGCTTGTTTTTGTGCAGCAACACCTCAATAATTGTTTAATATCAGTTTTCTAGAACAACATGAGAATATGGTACAAAATCAGTTTTCTAAAGCAGTGTATATATTATCTTTTTTGAGTGCTTTCTTGTCCTGGGGAGGCAAGCCTGATAATTACCAAAGTCACTGGAATAGTGTAGAGGTTACGAAGGATGGCTGTGCCAAACTTGGATCGGCTTACCGCCCTTGGCTTTCCGTCAAGAGCAGTCAATAGATACATGGTTGCTAGTCTTAGAGGAATGTTTTCTGGAAATTTAAGCTGGAAAAATTGCAGCAAGTCTCTCTTTCTCAACTGTTATACTTGCATGCAAAGATGGTTTGACGTGTTGGTTAACTAGTTTAGTTGTAAATCGATAATCAGATCTTTGTAATGATGTATTTTCCAAAAAAGTATTTATGCAGCACATTTTTTATAAATCTGTAGTCCGGTTCTAAAGTCTGCTGTCAAACTTAAGAACTGAGGCAAACAATGTTGCTCAAGTATCCAGCTATATGAAAGCTGCTTTCAAAGAACTGACAGTCAGATAGGAACTTTATAAATGGTAGTAGTCGCAAACATTCAATGCTGGAGTGTACGGTTACAGTGGGAATTACTGTTACCCTAAAATAGATATATTTATAGAATGTTCTTTGTGATGTTACAAACCCACTGGTATATTTTAATCACAAAAGTAACACCTGGGAGAAGTGAAGCGTACACTTGAATATTGTACACAACCCTATCCTTTGCAGGACAGTCTGATATCTGCAGATGTATCCTAAGCACTGATTTGGGGACAGTAGCAATATCCTCTGATTACATTACAGAGGAGCTTTGTTTTGATCTGGTGGGTGAATGGAGACCCTTCATCAAAACATGGTGCCAGCTGGCAACGATACACATGTGTATTCCTGCTATTTTTTTGAGTTGATTGATCCTCTGAACTTTTCCAGCTCTGTTTGTCTTAATTATGAACCTAATTACTGTATTTTCCATCACCTTCATGCCATCACTTTTCTCTCAATTCCTGTGCCTTTTTATGTTGACCATAATCCCAAACTAAACTAGTTCCACCTGCCTGTGCTTGGTCTGTATCCCTCCAAACACTACTTATTCATGTACTTATCCAAGTGTCTTTTAAACGTTGTAACTGTACCCACATCCACCACTTCCTCTAGAAGTTCATTCCACACATGAACCACTATGTAAAATTACCCCTTGTACCTTGTTAAAATCTTTCTCCTCTCACCTTAAAAAAAATATGCCACCTAGTCTTGAAATCCCCCACCCTAGAAAAAAGACACCTGCCATTCAACTTATCTATACCCCTCATGTTTTTATGAACCACTACTTGCCTCTCACTTTTTTTTTATTGACTGTTTCTGTTAGTTGGTAGACAATTTTTTAATCCATTCTTTCTTTTTCTCTCTCCTTTTTCCTTCCTGAGCAGCACAACCCTGAATTATCCACTGTTTGTCTTTTTCTGGTTTTTAGTTTTTTTTCCAAAAAGAAAACAGTCTAATATCTATGTGGATAAAGTTCCACTTGTGACTTGATTAAATGCTGCTCTGTTTATCGTGAATTGTTGAATCGTTGTTTGTAACTTGGTTTGTGATTTGAATTGTATAGTAGGTGAAACATAGTCCTGAAATCAGTGGTACCTAATTGACCTTTTCTCGTTAGTGACTTTTAATTTGTAAGATTTGGGGCACCATCATGCTAGTAAATTGTTTTGTAATATTGCAAGCATACTGAGGTGCTATGTCCAATGAGTGGAAAGAGTGATGTTCCACAACAGCAGTAAGATGAATGTGCTAGTTGAGGCTTTTGGTTTTTTTTTTGTCATTTGACAGACCATGGAGAATTTGCTGCTTTTCAAATAATGCTGTGAAATGTCAGCATATCGAACACCTGGAAATGGTCCTAGTTTATCATAAAAGAAGGATGGTATTTTGACACTGTAGCAGTTTCAATATAGTTCTGGAGTGTCAACCGAGACTGTATGCTGAAGTACTAGCGTGGGGATTCGAATATTATCAACCTACTCAGGAAAGATGTTACTAACTGAAGCAAGCTTTTTCCCTGCAGTAATTTTTGCAGAATGTCTGGTGACAGAAAAGCGTGAACATAGTTGGAACTCAACAGATATTGCGAATATTGTGCAAACATATGGCGGTGGGGTATGTCAGCTATGTGCACGACCTGATGAATGTCAAAAAGTGTCAAGTGGTCTTTAATTTGGACCTATAATTTATTTGCCTTGAAGTATAAGATTGGGAGGAGATTGATGGATAATGTATTATGACAGGAAATTGATCATAAATCTCAGCTTTGTCTTGTACGATCAACTTTAACACTGTCATAAATTCCCTTGTTTGGAAATACAGTACAAACTATTGCTGTCTGCAGTTGCTTGGAAGTGGTAAGATTTCCTTGAGATTAATGATTTTGCACCATTTGACTTTGCTTTTGGTTGGAACTTATTTTTTAAAAAACCCTGACGGTATTATAGGGAATCGATTTTCAAACGTGATCACTGGTCTGTGTTAACAAGGTGTAGAGCTGGATGAACACAGCAGGGCGAGCAGGAAGGCTGACGTTTCGGGCCTAGACCCGTCATCAGAAATGGGGGAGGGGAAGGGGGTTCTGAAATAAATAGGGAGAGAGTGGGAGGCAGATAGAAGATGGATAGAGGAGAGGAAACAGACAGGTCAAAGAGGTGGGGATGGAGCCAGTAAAGGTGAGTGTAGGTGGGGAGCTAGGGAGGACGGACAAGTCAAGGGGGCGGGATGAGGTTAGTAGGTAGGAAATGGGGGTGTGGCTTGAGGTGGGAGGAGGGGATAGTGGGAGGAAGAACAGGTTAGGGAGGCGGGTCGAGCTGGGCTGGTTTTGGGATGCGGTAGGGGGAGGGGAGATTTTTGAAGCTTGTGAAATCCACATTGATACCATTGGGCTGCAGGGTTCCCAAGCGGAATATAAGTTGCTGTTCCTGCAACCTTCGGGTGGCATCGTTGTGGTACTGCAGGAGGCCCAGGATGGACGTGTCGTCTGAGGAATGGGAGGGGGAGTTGAAATGGTTCGCGACTGGGAGGTGCAGTTGTTTATTGCGAACCGAGCGTAGGTGAATGTTAGTCTAGATATATAGCATAATTAATTTCAAACAAAATATACACACCTCTAATATTAGTTGGCTTCCCAAATTTTTGTATTAAATAAAGTCAACCCCACGACTGGTGTTTAACCACAAGTAGAGATTTATTTTGATCGCAATGTAAAGTGTTCCTCAGTGATCAGCTTTTTGTAATTCTATGTATTGCTATGTTGAAGTGTCACATTGACTTGCATACCTGAACAATGTTCATTCCATTTTGCTACAACCTAATCAATAAGAGGAAGGTTGCAAAACAGACACCTCGAGGAGGTCGTGCTTTAATAGAATCATCACAACTGTTAATTCAGAGACCAAGATAATGTTCTGGGGATCCATGTTCAAATCCTATTGTGGCAGGTGGTGGAATTTGAATTAAGTCTTTTAAAAAAAAATCTGGAATTAAGAGCCTAATGATGGCCATGAATCCATTGTCATTTGTTGGGGATAACCCATCTGGTTTACTAATGGCCTTTTAGGAAAGGAAACTGCCACTCTTACCTGGTCTGGCCTACATGTGCCTCCTTACCCAAAGCAATGTGGTTGACTCTGGGCAATTAGGGATAAGCACTAAATGCTGCCTAGCCAACAACGCCCTCATCCTGTGAATGAATTTTTAAAAAAACCTGAAATATTTGATTTCTTCAAATTTGTTGTATACAAATAACAAAACTAATATTTATGTAAGTGATGTTCTATCAAGTACTCACAGTATTCATTATAAATATCCCTCCGTTCTACAGATGCCAGAATTCCAGAAAAAAAATGTCTACATTAAGGACCCCGAAAGAGTAGAACAAATCATATGTGGCCTTATCAAAGGAGGAGCTTCCAAACTTCAGGTAAGCAACATCTGTAATGAAGGGTGAAATTGAAGGAATCTGGGAATATAGCTGCAAAATTTAACCTCACTTTCCAAACTGGATACTTAAATTTGACAATTTTCTTTTTCTGATATATAGCACCATTATTATAAATGTTAATGCCACTTTGAGCCACATCCTACACAAAGTAGAAAGTATTTCAAGTCACAGTATGCCTGGTGCTAAATTTTAACAAGAAAAACTTTGACACAGATATACCAACCAAGTCTTTTTTCAGCCTTTAACTCCTGAGTGTCTGTAATCTGTACATAATGCATATAAATTATCTGTTGCTGATTGAAAAAGCATGCTGTGTGCAAATTGACTGTATTGTTTCCCACATGACACCAGTGACTATGCTTAAAAGTGCTTCATTGGCAGTAAGTACTTTGTATGTGGTAGTTATAAATGGCTATATGGAGTCATACAGCATGGAAACGGACCCTTTGGTCCAACCAGTCCATGCTGACCATAATCCCAAACTAAACTATTCTCACCTGCTTGCACTTGGCCCATATCCCTCCAAACATTTCCTATTCATGTATTTATCTAAATAGCTTGTAAGTCTCTTAAATTACTGCAAAGAACAGACCACTAGTCCAAACAGTCTTTACCTGTCTCACAAGTAAATAGTGTTAATCATATTTCCTTGCTCTGCTCCCAACTATCTTCAACTATTGCCTTGACAGTAACACTTCAACTACAATTGAGTGAGTTCTGTTTGGTGTGGCAGAGTATAATAGATTGCTTTGCTGTACTAAATCTTTTATGTAAATAGGTTAGGCTAGAATAGCAAAATAATCTTTACTTTTATTCCCTGCATTCTTTGAAAATTGTGTAGCTAGTACATGACTGTTATTACTTTTCTATAACCTACTTGTCACTGTCATTGAGAACTTCCTGAAGAGATCGAAGTTGTATGAGTTAATACTCAATTTGACTTTGCTCTCTTGCTCATGCTAACTGCGCACTGCTCTTGACTTTTTTTTTTACCCTGATCTTATTTTTTATTAAAAATGTGGGTACACTTTATCTACTTCTTTCAAGTACGTAACCCTAACAACTGCATTGATTTGTGCAGTTCGGGTTTCCAGACAGGAAACGTACTGAGGGTTTTGCTCTGAAACTTCAAAGCCTGGTGAACTGCAAATATCTAAACAATTTAATTCTGATATCATGGATCTAGGTCAGTACAACACTGCATTCACATAGTTGCTTTAATATTCAATATGTTCCATTGTTCAGGGAAGGGGAAGTAGGAGAAGAGTTTGAGGGAGCGCAACCTAGTATCAGTAAGATTCCATCACCAGTAGTCAAGTAAAGGGACAGTTTTATACAAACAACTAGCAGCAGAGCACTTCAGAGAACGGCTTGCAATTAGCTGAGTACATTTTGGAGCTTTGGGAAACAGTTTTTGCTGTCAGGATAGTTACTAATCAAAGAACATAGATTTAAGACAACAAGGTGTAGAGTTGGATGAACACAGCAGACCAAGCAGCATCCGAGGAGCAGGAAAGCTGACATTTCAGGCCTAGAATTTTCTGAAGAAGGGTTAGGCCCGAAACATCAGCTTTCCTGCTCCTCTGATGCTGCTTGGCCTGCTGTGTTCATCCAGCTCTACACCTTGTTATCTCCGATTCTCCAGCATCTGCAGTTCCTACTATCTGAATAGATTTAAGACAATTGCTTAAATGAGAATATACTTATCCATTGAATAATCTGGACTGCACTGCCTGAAAGGTCTGTGGAAGCAGATAGAGTAGTAAGTTTCAAATAGAATTAGAAATTTAGAGGACAACAGGAAAACAATCTAGCAAATATACGTTGGGCTGAATTTTCTGCATCATTTTGACAGTATGTGAAGCACTTCAATACGTGTCAAATATTTGCATTACATCTGGAAAATCTCAAATTAGCTTTAATGTTGTTATAGACATGAGTTCAATAAAATGAGTAATATTTAGCAAAGATTACAGAAATATAATGTTTCTCAATGCAAAGCATTTTGTAGAATGTTATAGTGCATTTTGTTTCATAACTTTTGGAATATTACATCACAAACTTGCACAGGCATATTCCCTTTTCTTTTAGTGTCATAGGTTCAAATGGAGACCAGATACAAATTAAACAATGAACCATGCATTCTGCATATTCTGGAGTTCTAATTCACAATTTAGCCACCAGTAAGGCGAAAAAGGCTTGTAGCCCATTCTATTGTCCCAGAGTGATACATTTCTTCAATACTTTAATCTAAAAACAAATAAAGTGGGGTGTCTGGATTCAAGTGATAGTCAGTGGTACTGTATGAATACTTTGATCTAATACTTTATTATTACAGTGACTGTATTTTGAAAGGTACTTAATCAGCTGCAAGGCACTTAGACATCTGGTAATATCATGAAATACATTACAAATATAGCTGTTTTTCAATGATAATTACACCAATTGGAAAAGGTGCTTGCATTAACAGTAACTTATTGTAATAACTTATTTTTAATGCTATTAACTGTCTTTTAAAGAATGTAATTTTTAGCAGTTTTCAATATTAATTGTGACCTATGCTTTTGATGTTTGACAGATAATCACAGATTTTGATATGACACTAAGCAAGTTCTTCCATAATGGGAAAAGGTGTCCAACTTGTCACAGTAGGTACTCTGATATAATACAGAATTGTGGCCATTTGAATTGATGCCTTCACATTGCTGGGAAGCAGAAGACTTGTGCCAACAAAGATCAAACCCATCACCTGAATGCTGAGCTTTTACTAAAATGCATCCTTAATTTCCTGTCACATTTTCAAAATGGCTTTATTGATACCATTGTCTTATTTGAATTTTTGTTTCTGAGGAGATGGTTAACCCAGTGTGGAATCAACCAACAAGATCATACAACAGCTCCATATTTACTGATGAATGCTTCTAATTTGCCAATGTGTATTATGACATGCATTGGAGTTTCTCAGGTTTGCCATTAGTCTGACACATCAGATTTATAGTTCTTTCATCCTCTGTTCAAATGTTCTGTGTACACAAGCTGTTTTTTTTCCTATTTAATGTGTAAATCATTTCCTTTTTAGAGATTTGCCCTTAAAGTGTCAACTTGTGACTGTCTCATATCATTGTGACAAAGGCCAAAGGGATCCATTGAATTTTTATTTTTCACTCTGGATTTGCAAACTGCTGGGGTCCTACTATTGCATTGCTAAGAACAACAAGCTGACCGCAAGCTTTTACACGCCCCCTTGATTTGAATGGCGCAGCTTACTGATTAATATATTACATCACAGCAATATTGGTTGCCTGTTATCATTCATGGTAACAAACATTCTTAATCACCTATGCAAAATAGAACATTACTAAACAAACATTAACTCCACACAGCTAGACCACATAACTACTTTATATCTACTTAATAACTTTTAAAAACTCTACAATATATTTGGTTGAACATTAATTTTTATTCCTTTTTTAACAGATATTATTGACAACTGTAAGTTAATCTCAGAGGACTGTAGGAAAAAGGTATTTGTTTCAACAACAACAACAAAAAAATTTCTTGCATGTCATGCTTTCAGTCTTCATTTGTGTATTTCTTTCTTGCAGTTGCTGCAAATTAGAAATAAATACTATCCAATTGAAGTTGATCCTGCTCTTAGTGCTGAGGACAAGTACCCTTTCATGGTTGAATGGTAAGTCTTTACCTTTCAATAAACAGTGAACCTGAAAAAATGGTTGTCTAGTAATTACAGTCAAATGATTTTGCTAAAGAATGGCTTCAAACGTGAACAAAAACTGACTTTGCCTAATTGCAATAAAATAATATTACAGTTATATCCAAAAGTGCCTTTTTTTGTTATTTAATATTGGAATTTGAGCAATGCTGCGTACATCACATTTATAACCATTACCATGAGAGTTTCTTCCTATGATTAGTGGCATTAGACTACTGCTTTGCTCTTTTCACTGGTGGTGAATGATAAGCTAGTTCACGTCAAAATTTGGAGTCAAACTATGGTTTTATCACAGAAACCTGAGAGTCACTGCTGGGAGTTCACTCAGTACTTAACCTGTAATCTGTCAATTATTGCCTCAGTGGCTTGGGCTTTCTCAGGTGTCTTCTGCTTCAGTGACTTCAGTACATTACTGGTCAAAATGTAGATATGAAATTTACATTGTTGAAGGAAAATGGGTAGGTGTTTTTAAACCTAAATTATTTCTTTTAAACTGTGTTAATGATCAAAGTATCTTTCACTTCTAAATTTATTGATGCTCTTTAGCTCTGAGAACCTCCATTTAACATTATGGTTCAAATGTATTTTGCAGATGTTTACTAGTCATTGGACCTACAACTTGAATACTGCAAAATATAAAATCCAAGATGATACAAGTTTCTTGATTTAATTCGTTAATGTATGGAATGAAGGGTGAAGCTAATTTAAAAGACTTTTCTTGATACTGGCCTGAAAATGAGCTAATAGTTTCACTACTTACAAGTGAAATTTTGATAACATAACGAAGTATCTCTACAGTGATTATAAATGGAATTCTTTCCTAGTTCTTCATGTTTGTGTTTCTTGTCTTGTATGTATCAACAGCTTTCAAAATAAAATCTCATTTGTGCAGGTGGACCAAAGCCCACAATTTACTAATTGAACAAGGTATTGAAAGGGCAAAACTGGCTGCAGTGGTGAGGGAATCGGACGTGATGCTGAGGTACTGTGAGGATTTCAGTGATGTGGAGGGTGCAGTCTGTGACTAGTGCAGAAATCTAAAATTACACAAGCTGTTTATTCAAGCATTGCATCCTGGATGTTTGTTTGTTTTATTATAATTATAATCTTAAAAAAAAATTACTCTGCGAAGTTGTGATCCTCCAGTATGATCTGCAGTGCATACAAATGACAAACAAGAGAAGGTCGGTCACTTGGACCTTTGAGCCTGCTGAGCCATTCAATAAGTTGATCACTGATGTGATTTTAATCTCAATTCTATATTCCTGCATACCCCTGATAGATATCCCTATGTTAAAAATATCTAGGTTCTGCATGCACTACCTTTTTGAGGAAAGAAATTCCAAAGACACTCAACCTTTGGGGGATCATGTCCTCATCTGTCTTAAATGGGTGATAATTATTTTCAAAACTCAGTTCTATTTCTTTAAATATTCTGTGCAGTTATTTAAAGTATAAAAATGGGCAGTGAGAGCCAATAACTTGGACAGTTCCAGGAGTCCTTTGATGCGACAGTATTAACACGTTATCTATTATTAGTTCACATACCTCTGAGAACATTTTCAATGATTGCCGATTTGGTTTGTTACCTTTGTTATTCAAATTATTTAAGTATGAAATTTGTATTTGTCTCTATTCTACTTTATGAATTTTTTTAAAAGACTTGCCAAACCATAGGTTAAATGTGTTGTCCCATTCTAGAGATGGTTATGAACTGTTCTTCGATAAGCTGAATGAACACAACATCCCAGTCTTCATATTCTCAGCTGGTATTGGTGATATACTAGAGGAGATTATTTCTCAGGCTGGTGTCTTTCATTCGAATGTGAAGGTAGTCTCCAACTTCATGGACTTTGATGAAAAGGTATTTTGCTGTCTGAATTCTTTTTCTACAATTTACAATATTGCAAAGAACTTAGTAATCCATTGCAAGAAAGAACTTCCATTACAACAGTGCCTACGCTTGGAAACAGTCTCTTTGATATAACCCTTGTGAAAGATGTTTAATTGTGATCTGTCAAGCCATATTTTTAAACAGTAATGGTTACTTTTAATAGATGGAAGGCATTGCTTAAAGTAATTTGTCCAACATGTTATGAGCCACGTGTGTGTTAGCTATTCGATAGCAAAAAGTCATTCAGCTGAGTTTTTTTGTTTCTCATTTCAGGGTGTTCTGAAAGGCTTTAAAGGTGAGCTTATCCATGTTTACAATAAACACGATGGAGCCATAAGAAGCTCTGAATACTTCGATCAGCTAAAGGAAAATTGTAATATCATCCTTCTGGGTGATTCGTTAGGAGACTTGACCATGGCAGATGGTGTTCAAAACGTTGAAAGCATTCTCAAGATTGGATTCTTAAATAATAAAGTAAGAAATATTATGACAAGTCATTAATTTTAATTGGAGTAATAGGAACATAGGAGCATGTGTAGGCCATTGGCATCATTATGGCTATCTTATCTTGGTCTCGACTCCATTTTCCTGCCCATTCCCCTCAGCCCTTTTATTTGGCTTTTCATCAGAAACATATCTTTCTTTCTTGAATCTGTTGATTGATTCTGCCTCCACTGCGCTCAGATATTGGGTTCCACAGATTCACAACCCTCTGAGAGAAGTAGTTTCTCCTCATATATTTTGAACATACCTCCTCTCAAAGTATATCGATGACCTCTTGTTCTAGACAGTCACACAAAGGGGAAACAACTGCTCAACCCCCACCTTATCAGTCCCTTTAGCATTTTATATACCTTAATCAGATCCCCTCATTCTCCTGAACTTCGGCGAGTATGAGCCCAAACTTTTCAACTGCTCCTCACAACAGCCCTTTCAACCCTGGAATCAATCTGGTGAACCTCCTGTGAACTGTCTCCAATGCCACCACATCCTTCCTCGAGTAACGAGACCAAAACTGGACACACGACTCCAGTGTGGTCTCACCATCGCCTTACATAACTGTAACAACATTACTTTTATAATCCAGTCCTTTTGCAATAATTCTTTATTATATACTGCACCTACATAACCACTTTCTGCAATTCATGCATAAGGACACCCAGATATTGCACTGATGCTCTTCGATTCTGCTTCCCAATTAAATAATAATTTGCTCTTTTATTTTTCCAGACAATATGGATAACCTTGCACTTGTCCACATTAAACTCCATCTGTCAAATTCTGGCCCATTCTAGTCTATCTCCTCATCAGTGTGCTTTTCCACCTATTTTAGTATCATCTGTGAATTTTGCTATGTTACACGCTGTCCCTGGTTGCAGAGCATTTGTATAGATTGTAAATAGTAGAGGTCTGAAAACTAAACCTTGCAGCACCCCACTAGTTACAGTTCGACATCCAGAGAAGGACCCATTTATCCTGACCCTCTACATTGTCTGTCAGCCAGTCCTGTATCCAAGCCAATACTGTACCATCTGTAGTGTAATTCCCCTTTAATATTTACTTTTGTCAAAGAATCAGATATAATTTGGAATGGAATTCCAGGAAGTGACATGTGGACTTGCATGTATTCCCTTTGTGTGCTTGATTTTGAAAATGAATGCTTGTGTTAGGCAAGCTTCACAGCCATTCTCCCTTTTCTTTGCTGTTCTTACCTCAATAGACTTATCGTACAGATGATGTACTGGAGTAGCCTAGCAAGCCTTTTATTATTTCACTCATTTATTGTACTAGAACCTTGAATAAAAAAAATCAGATGAGTAGAGTCCTTGTAATTACATGGCAAACAAATCAATTTTTGATTAAGATTAGCTGCATTAATCTTTTGTATCTAGTATCCCAGAATTTGTAGATCTAAACATACATATCTATCTTTTTAAACATGCACAGGTGGAAGAAAGTTTAGAAAAGTACATGGACTCCTACGATATAGTTCTGGTTAAAGAAGAGACGTTAGATTTGACGAATGCTATCCTCCAGAAGATTCTGTGATATGAGCACTGAAGACATACAGGCTTGTGGGAGCTCAAAACTGAAATACTTTAACATTAATATTATGTAATTGAACAGCCCCATTTGTTGAAAATGCTGTTCATTCTTCAGCATCTGGAACTTAAAATATTCTTAAAATTTGCACAAATGTGTCTGCAGTGAATAAAGGGAATAATACCTCTTCTAAGATTGGCAGTTACGTCAGCCACAAGCAGATTTTAAACTACCTCTAGATGTAATAGTTTAAATTCTGGCTTTAACATTTCAAAGCATCTCCATGTGTAGTTTTCAGTATATGTTCTTTGAGAGTGGAGTATTGTAAGCTTGATGTACTGTGGCTAAATTGCCTGTGAACAACTATTGCAAGTTCTATACAAAAAAACAAGCATTCTGAAACAGTTTTTATAATTTTTCAAACATTTTGTAGTTGTAGATAAGTGAGGATGCTCTTGGTGTGCTTGGTCACAGCTTGTGTTGCCTATTGAACATTGTCATCTGCGTATTTTAAAATGATGTACCTGAGAGAAATTGTTGTACAGTACATTAAAGTTGGGAGAGTTTTTAAAAACATTGGAGCCTGGTTTCTTAAAGCCCTTAACTTGTTGTAACAAACTCTTCATTCTGTCTGAAAGAGTTGAACGGGTGGCTGAAAGCTTAGCATGGGAGAAATGGGTTTCAATTCATGGGGTGCAGACAGTGACAGTGTGGGAACTACGCAGAGAGTAGTACACTAGAGCATCAGTATTGTAGTGGTGATGCTAGTGAACTTGTAACCCAGAACCCTAGACTGATGATCTAGGGCCAGGGGTCAAATCCTCCAGTTTGTGGAAATTCAATTGAAAGCTAGTCATTGGTAATGCTGACAGTGAAACAGTTATTGTAAAAATCCTTGTGGGTCACTAGTTTCCTTTTGGAAGGGAAATCGATTCATGAGTGGTTTAGCCTAAAGGTGACATGACCTATAAAAATGTGGTTGACTCTAACTGCCCTCTGAAATGGTCTAGTAAGCTACTCAATTGTATAAAACAGCTACAAGGTCTAAAGAAATGAAGCCAGATGGACTATGCAGCAGTTACTAGTCACTGGAAATGACAATATGAAACCCAACCCTGAAGGAGGGTCTAGGCCTGAAATGTCAGCTTTCCTGCTCCTCTGATGCTGTGTCCGTCCAGCTCTATACCTCGTTATCCCTGTTTCAGCAAAGTTCTCTGTTTTGGCACAAGTCACCAGTAATTAGTAAGGCTGTGCCACAGAATGATCATGCAACAGTCTAATTTATAGTGCCCTTCATGGAATTGTATCTTACAGACAATGTCACTACCCCCTTCCTAGGTACTTCCTGTCTGGATTTGAAGTTTGATTTTTCTATTGAAGATTTTTATTTTTAAAAAAAGGGCAAGTGGATGAAGTAACATAGAACAATCACTAGGACTGAAGGCTGAGAAATATCCTGAACCTGATGGCCTGCACTGGTTGCAACTTTCCTATTATAACTGAGGCTAGAAGAGTGCATCGTTACTCAACAGGTCACAGCATAAAATAGAAATACCCAGTTACCAAGATGGTGAATCAAATGCCTAACTTTTTTTTAATTTAAAACCTTGTAAACAAATAGTGATGGAAAATGCAATAACTGGTTAACATACAATCCCATAACTTGGAAGTATGGATATTTATCTTTCTGAATAAGCTTAAAAAACATTAGTAAACCTCTGCAGGGATTCTTTTCCTTAAAGAGAAGACATTTTCTGCCCATTAGGGTGACTCTTGAAAGCAAAAAAAAACATGGTGTTGAATGTTCCAGCACATCTGGTCATCATTAATCATGCACAGTTGTCTATGGACTCATAGCAGACAGCTTGCTCCAGAAGTACAATACTGAGGAGTTCCTTCAATTTTTTTTTTTTTTTTTTTTTTTAAGGACACGTCAAACAGCAGAATAAGGACTGATTTCCAAGAAGCCTCTTTATGAATTTTATTTTTTTTTAAAAAAAGTCTGGTATTCCCACAAAACCTCAATTTTGCCACAACCCTTCAAAACTTAAGTCCTTGAAGTATTAAGGATAAAGCACCTTTGTGATGTTCCAAAACTCCCTGGGTTCAGAAAGGGTCCAAGCAGATTGAAAAACTGTACATTTAAACACCTCTGTTCAAGGAAGGAGGAAAACCACAGGAAACAAATGCCAGTTCATAGCACATGTGTCATTGGGGAAAATTCTAGAATCCATGATAAAAGAAGTGTAGCAGGACATTAAGAAAATTGTAATAGCAAGCAGTCAACTTGACTTTGAAAAAGGGAAATCATGTTTGACAATATAGTTCTTGGAGGCTGCAATGACTAGGATGGGCTACAAGCAGCCAACAGGTTTAGTGTGTGGGATTTACAAAAGTTGTCACATAAGGTAAGTGTTGTTTGGGATAATAGATCATGGATGGAGGATGGGCTAATAAACAAAGCTTATTTGGGATAAGTGGCTCATTTTTAGGTTGGCTGGCTGTAAGTTGTGGAGTGCCATAGGGATTAGTGATAAGGTTTCAACAGTGTTCTGTCTGTCTTAATGGAGGAGGCTGACCATATTGTAGTTAAATTTCTGATGATACAAAGATAGGAGAGCACGTTGTGAGGAGAATACAAAGAATCTGCAAAGATTGACAGGCAAAATGTTGGATTACAATTTTTTTTTTTATTCATTCATGGGACAAGGGCATTGCTGGCTAGGCAGCATTTATTGCCCATCCTTGATTACCCAGAGGGCAGTCAAAAGTCAACCACATTGCTGTGGGTCTGGAATCACATGTAGGCCAGACCAGGCAAGGATGGCAGTGGACAAAGTTCTGCGTACACTGGAATGTGAATTGCCTCATACAGGAATAACATTGAGCATTTTATAGGGAAGAAAAAAAAAATGAAATAAATGACAAAGCATGAAAATCTCACCTCCCTTAGGCCTCTTTCTACTCCCTCCCCTCCAGTATCCCATGGTATCTTTAACAGATGCAGAGATGCCAGTGTTGGATTGGGGTGGACTTTTGATTTTACCTTTAACAAAAGTTCATTCAATTATATGACCACAGCCCTCAACTTTGGACTGAATGTCAAAGGTGAATGTTAATAAAGGCAATTACCAAAACAAAAGTCAAGACACCAGACTCCCCTCTAGATAACAAATAGCTGAATCACTCTTTGTTGATGGAAACATCAAGCCCCACTTCCCAAGTGTAAACAGCCCTACATCACTGTCAAAGCACAATTTAAATTCCTTGCCCTCTCCAGCTTGTGGAATGTTGTAAATACAGCAACAGGGTGCAATGAAATTTGAATTGATGTATTTTTCACTATTTCAACTGGTCACATATAATGAAGAGTTTTTATTACACTGTTATTGCATAACCAGTGAAATCCTAACAATTTAAAACCACTCCATAGTTTGTGTGAATATGGCAAAACTTAAACACGAAAATTCAAAGATACATCCGCACTGCTTCCATTTATTCACCACAAAATGCTTATGTACTACATGGAACCATTTGTTGTCAACATTTGTCCGAATTTGACCAAACAACAAAGAATTGGGCTGATCATGGAGTTTTTCAAGTAGTAAATTGTGTGGTATTTATCAAAGGCAGAGTTAAATTTTTACACAAACTGCATAATTTTAGACTCCAGAAAAATGTTGTCAAATGCTTCAGCTCAATCATAAATAAATTGCATCAAAAACTCTCTACTAAAGCATTCAATGCTATAGAAATTGCTACTTCAAAACACAAGAATCAGCAATTCCTTTCACTGAAGGCTGAAAGTTAACTTTCTTTACCCTCAAAGAGTTATCTTTGGAATGCTTTGAAGTCAGAGCAATTAAGCCTTTTGAAATGCTACCAAGTTTCAAAGGAAACTCTGAATTCAAAAGGGAGGAGTGATACTTCAGCTGTACAGAGCCTCAGGGAGACCTCATTTGGAGTAATTCTGTTCAATTTTGATAAGTGTATCTGGGAAGAGCACAATGACTTTGGAGACGATAGAGCACAAATTCACCACAACAATACCAAATCTTGCAGGATCCAAGTACAATGACAGAATGCATAATCTTGGGTCCTGATGACTGATACTAAAATGACAGGAATGTGATAGTTTCACAACACAAGCTATTTCTTCTCATGGAGAAATGTGAAACAACGGAATGTGATTTTAAAATTAGAGCAAGATAACTTGGGTAAAATGGCAAATACTAAGATTGATTTTTGTCAGACAATGATCTCAAATGTCATGAAACAAAATAGATCTGAAATGCAGATCAACCATAATCTAACTGTACAATGGAGGTGGTTCAAGAGACTGACAGTCACTTCCTGTTTGCACATTAGCCCAAAATCTTGATTTACAGGATGACTATGGGGCTGTCAGAATCTACAATGGAGCTGCAGTGTGCAGTCCTAGAGAAACAGGACTCTAGTAGCAACAGATCTGTGTTCAAACACTCCTCATCCAGTAGTGGTGATTAAGAATATTCAAATGACATCATGCAGAAGACATCTGTTCAGGATGCACCACAGTTAGACAGTAAAGAACATTGATGTTGCCAAATACTCTGAATATCTCAGGTAGATACTGAATATTCAGATGCAGTCCTGCTAACAAAATTTAGGGCCATCCCAAAATGGCCACACTTTTGATATTAGAAAGGGCAGCCTCTGGGACAAAAATGACATCTTATTGGCTCGGACTACATGGAATCAAAAAGCAAATTTATTTTCCCTGCAGTCTGGTAAACTCTACAGATTAGATACAACTTGTACAACAGAAACTGTTACAATGAGAGAAAGAGCTTTCTCGAGAAAACTCCATCTTTACATGCTCCTTCAAACTCTTGGCTTCCAACTGGAAAGTGATGTTCAGCTTTTGATTGGATATAATTAGCAAGTTGATTTTTGACTACACTGCCAAAGGCAAATCCTTAATGACTATGCACTGGATCATGGGAAAACATTGTGACATTTCCCAATGGGTAGGGCAAGGTGGCAGACCCTCAGACTACTGCCAGAACAGGAGTTGTTAAGCTGTTGGCAATCTGATCCATACTAGATAAAAGCAAAGCTCTGACGATGCTGCAGATCTGAAATAATAACAAAGTGGTGGAGAAACTCAGGTCTGACAGCAACTGTGGAGAGAGAAACAGTTAAATGGTTCAAGTCAAATATGACTATTTTTCAGAACCATGAGTTCTGAAGAATCATTTTGGACTCAAAACATTAACTCTGTTTCTCTCTCTGTAGTTGCTGCTATAACTGCCGCGTTTCTCCAACACTTAGCTTCTATCCCATTCATTAGCCACCTAGAACTATACATATATACAAACACACACACACACACACACTATAGCTCTATATAACTATAGGAAAATGATCTCTTTTGTGCTATAATTCAGCCTACTGTGTCTGTGCAAGTTAAATAAACTTGTGGCCATTCTAATTCCACTGACCAGCATTTGGTACATAGGCTTGCAAGTTACAGCACTTCAGGTGCAGAGAGAGATTTCTTTTAAATGGGTATGGGTTTCTGCCTCTATCCCCAA